TAATGTATCATGGGGAAAGATTTATAAAAAGATGCTCTACAGCACCTCAAAGCTGTAACCAAATCACCTTTGCATCACTGGGAAAGCACAACAGAAATCTATCCATGTGACTTCACATCATCACCACAGGGAACAACATCTGCACCAGCCAGGGCAGACAGAGACTTGTAAACCTGTTCTACTCACAATATGCTGCTTTCACTGACAGCAGTAATAAATAGTGTCCTGCCCATCAGTCCTCAAGGCCTCCAACACACAGAGACCAGTTATTTTGTGCTCACAGCTTTTATGGAGAAATTATCTGTTGTAATTTCAGATGCAATACTCTGTACTTCCTACTGTGAACAATTTTAGGTTTCTTTTTTATGTGACAGCTTTATAGAAGATGAAAACTGATCATCCCAGCAGTAGCACCATGAGAGGAGGTCCCAACCAGCTGCAGACCCACAGCTCCTCCACACCAATATCAAGCAAGGGCAAAGCTGCTTAGGAGCCTTATGAGGATGGGAGCCCCATTTCCTGGGACAGCAGCTGGGACCTGTTTGCTTCCCAGTCACCTCTGAACAACATATTCCTTTCTCTCCTCCAAGGATCCAAGTCACACAGCGCACACACAGGCATCACAATCTTGCAGAGAGTTTGTGCCTGCCCTGGTGACAGTCTGTCCCTTTTACTAGTTGTGTGAAAGTGCACATTTGGCCACATAACAAACACCCCAGGACTGCCAGGTGAGCAGTGTGCAGCCACTCCCCAGAACAAGTCATGTGCTCTGATCAAGGCCTGTGATGGGACATGACAGCAGCCTGATGCCTGACCCAACCCACACCCTCACTGTTCACACAGGACTACAGATCTGTCCATCTGTTTTCAGGTGCAATATGCATTTTAGCCATGAGAGAGAAATATTCCTGGTCATGCAATGGCAAAGGCACTGCAAGGTCACTCAGAAAGAGTGACAGGGCCAGATGAACTTGTCGGACATGCCAAACGTTGTCTGCAGGTCACAGGATGAATGCTCAGCTTAGAATACCGTACAATGATTTTCCTCAGGCAACTTACCTGAATGAAAATCCATGTTCTCATGGATATATTAAGTTAAACAGTTAAGTTACTTAGATGTAAGTTAAATGATACATCTGTAACACAGCTGCTTTTACATAAAGGCTCTTAGACGGTCTTGTACAACATAATTCAACAGCAAAATCAATCTGGACAAGGCACAGGACTTCAGCACAGACCTGTCAGTCTCAGTTTTCAGAGCTCATATTCACATCCTGAAAGTTATCTTGAGTATTTACACTGTTCTGTGGACACATCCTAAAACAATTCCTACTTCCTAATTTTCTAAAACTGAAGTCCTAGAGCAAACAATTAATCACTGTGAATTTGCTATTCTAAATGAATTTCAAAATCTGAGTAAAACTAAATCAAACTATTGTGTATATATATAGCTTATGCTCTAAAAAGAACAAGAAAATCTCACTTAAGTACACAGATTTATTATATTTTTTTTATTTTTATAAAAAAGAAAGTTAATATGGTAAATTAATTATTCTTCCAATTAACTTCTTCAGGAGTAATATATTTCCTTTCAGAATAATTAATGTACAGAGAAAAAGGAGTCAGACTATTTTACCCTTCAAGACTATAACTAGAACACAAGAACCACTTAAGGAAGGAGAGAATCAAGCCTGATACCACTGGAATGTTCTTCTGGCTGGGCATTTGATGTGAGCAATTGTTCACCAGTAAAAAGCACAAAATCACTTAGAGATCCATTCTCCTCTGCAATTTATTTCAGGAAATAGAACTCTGGTAGTTACACCTGCTGAGCTATAAGATGTTCTGCCAATAAACAGAATTGACATTTGAGGATGCTACATTTCAGCCAAAAAAATACACTTTGCAACCCAGAAGTCCTCTACCAAATGGAATCCACCGTATTTCCCTACCCTGAAAAATTTGATTATGTTGATTTTTTTATTTTTTTTGACCTCCATAAATACTGAAAATTTTGTGCTGTTGTTTTTGGCAAGCTCACCAAAAGTTAACAGAATAAAATAAGGATAAAAAATAAATAACAGACATAAAGTGCAAATATGGAAAATATGTTCCTTCTAGCTTAAAGAAAACCATGTTACCATTGTTGTACAAAAAAAGACTATAGCATTTCCACAATTTCTAGAGTACCAAAAGTTAAAATCTTCACTTGATTGAGATCATAAATTGCTGCTCACTACTTATCAAAACAGTTCAAGTTACTTACAGGCGTATTAGATCATCTATTCAGGATCAGATTAAGCCTATTCCTACTCTCCCTCCATCAACCAAATAATCATTGACTTGCTACAGAAAACACTTCAAAATAAAAATCTCTGGACCTGACTGAAGAACAAGGAGGTTTAACACAAGTGCTTATTTCAGAACTTCTAGAAGAAAAAATGTATGAAATTTCAAGCACCCCGGTAGACTGATTATGAGCTGAAGCAAGAGGAATCATCTTTACATGCTTTAAATTAACTTTCTCAGAAGTGCCTTTACAAGAACAGTGCCATTAAAATTCAAATTAACTCTAACTTCTGTGGGAACAGAAAGTCTAAACTTAATATTAGTAATTTACAACAGATATCTTGTAAATCTTTCACAGCACTCAACTTCAGGGTAGCATTAAAAGCATATTTCTAAGCAGTTTGAAGCCTAATCCACAAGGAGATTGCTTATTTACAAAGCCACCTGAATGCTGTAATTTAAAGTATTATGCTGAGAAAAGAGTGTATAAACTATTTTAAGTGGCTTTTTTTTCCTACTGTTTGCAAAAAAAATTTTTGAAGTATCCATAACACAATTTCCCTACTCTACCCTCAACTACTGCATCACCTCCGCTAATCTTAATGAGAAAAAAGAAAAGAAAAAAAAAAAAAAATTCTTCCCCAGGTATTTGCCTGTTTAACAGTAGTTTAGCTCCTGCCTTCCATGTCGCTCTTTTCATTTTTATCACTGTTTCTCATCCCAGTTGCCCATTTTCTCCCTCTGTTCATGCTTAAGGAGAGCCTCCTTCCCCAGCTGCCAGTTTCCAAATGATTAATATAGCCAGAGAACAGTAGTAGGAGTACTGGCTACTTCTGCAAGAAACTGCCCAAACAGCAGTTAAACTTTGTAGCATCAATCACACAGCTGGGTCAGGTCTAACAAACACAACTGATAAACTGGGTGAGCCAGGCGAAAGGAGATTCCCTGGGAGAACACCACACGTTCAAAGGCATTTAATTTCAAGTGTCTTAACAAAGCAGCTGAGATGCTGTAATTTGTTTTGTAAGGACTCAAGCCACCAAATGTGTTTAACATATTTCACCTTACTATTGGGAATGGTTAAGAACACACAGCCAGCTCTGATCGTCTGCAAGGAACCATTAAGGCATTATAATTGTCCTTCTTTGATCTAAGGCTCCTGTTCAAAATGTCAAGCAAAAAATTGTTGGAAACCACTACAGAAATGCTGATGTTCCTGAAAGAATTCCCTTAAAGGAACACCTGACTGCCCCTCTCATCTGTGTAAATCGCCAGCATGGACACTGACGTGATACATCCTTGGCAGCTGCAGAACCTCATATTGGGTTCTCCATGTGGACTGAGCACCACAAAGCTTCCTCTGACATGTGCCCACAAGATGTCAAGGGCAGCCTGTCAACCACAGCACATCCTGCTGTACCCCTGCATGGACACCGACAGCATCCAGCCCTCAATGAAACACTGCCAAAAGGCTGTCCCTTATAGGATAAATTTTCTTACAAGTCTAACATGAAATTCTGGTCTTGCTGTGTTCACTGGGAATTTTACAGCCAATCTGAAAGCAGACAAAATTTCATTGCCATTATTTAAATGTCCCAGGCAGTGCATAGGCACTACACACTAAAATAAAAAATTTAAAAAAATTAAAAAAAGCTTTAGATTGAATATTGCTCAAAACTGGGCATCACTGGTAAGGGAACCAGACCTATGCCAGCATGGAGAGCTGTGGTACATCTGCATCCTGAGCACCATACACAACTGACTCTCCACATCTGACATTAACAGCAGATCAAGAGAAGGCACAGAGTAGCGTGACTATATTACCTCTGAGAAAGCAGCTGCTTTATAGGGAGACATGAGAAAGGCAGGCACCCCTCAGTTTAAAGAGATGGCTGAGGGAGATATAGTTGATGCCTGCAAAACTGTAAAGGTAGCAGACAAAAATAATGCAGACCAAGTTTTTGAAAATCCTGCAATACTAGGCATCAGGAAAACATGGTGAAATTAGCAGATCAGCTTAATGAAGGACAGCATTGCTTTGCACAGAGCCCAGTGAACATCTAGAATTTGTTGGCACAAAGCTGTGGAGTCAGAGAGGACCAGCACATTCAGGAGGGGACTTGACAAATTCATAGACAAGTCCACAGACACCAAATGATAAAAGCACACTCGCCAATATCCCTAGTGTAACAATTGTGGAATATTAGAGAAAAAAGTGGCAAACCCAGTCATCTGGCTTGCATTAAATTCCTGAATTGCATTTCCCTGTGGAAATTACAGACACATTACTTACTTAGATGGTCCACTGGTCTCCTCAACATTTAAGTTCTTAGACATATTGTTATAAAGGAACAGCAAAAACTCCACTAGGAATTATGAGCAAATCTGGCCTGGCTATGCAGGTCAAGAGACTGCAGCTTTTCAAGTCAAGGCTGCTGTTTATGTTTGTAGAGAAAATTCGGTGGATCATTTCAGACTGATACATATAAGAGGCAAATAATCACAGGTATTAGATACACATTTATTTCAGAATTTCTGCTACAGTTTTGGTCTATTTCAGTGTAACTAACATGCAGAAACTGAAGCATGGCTTGCAAACCTTATCTCGATAAGCAACAACAATGTAGGACCTAACAATGCTAGTTTCCCTAGATTACATCAATTTCCAGTTTGAAATTTTGAATTGTTCCAGTGTTGCTTTTCTGGCTTACCTTCACTGCACTGAAGCAGAAGGCATATAGGACAATCAGAACAACAAAGCTTCGGGAAATGCTGTACAGTGCAGATACGAACCCAGCAGCAGCTGAAACAGAGACATGTGGTAAGTGGGAAGAGAGAGGAACTTTGTTTCTGACCCAAACTAAGATTATAGTGTAGATGCATCTCAATCTTCCCTGCTACTTAAGCTATAATGAAAAACAAAAAAACAACCCACTACCAACAAAAAATCTTGATGCTTCATCTCTCAAGGGCCTTCTTTAATCTCTGACTGAAATAACACAAAGAAAATTATCATACATCAAATATCTTGTCAATCTGCCTTTCTGTGGAAGAATGCAAACTTTTTTTTCTTGATGTTAACAAAAAAAGAAAGTTAAAGGTTCTCTTTTTCAATAAATATAGTAAAAATTCACATCACACATGCCAGGAAAAGAGCTCTTTGATATCAACCATAATCTGCAAACTAGTTTTGAAAAGTTGCGTACAACTTTTCAAAAGCAAAAAGAAATCTAATCAAGTGGGCCTTATAAGAATTCACCCCACTGCTAGATGAATAGAATTAGCTGTTTGAGCTTTAACATGCACTGTGCTGTGTAACATGTAACAATATATTCTGATTTGAGGTTATAAACCCAGAAGGGGACAGCTCAAGCTGCAGATGGCTACTTACCAGAACCACCAAAAAGCAACATATCTATTTGTTCCAAAAGATATATGCAGAAGGTATTGATTTGAGGGAAAAGTCCAAGAAGAGAAATTGCAGGAAAGCAATATAAAAACACTAAGAAGAAAAAAAAAAAGTATTTTAGAACACGGTCACACATCCAATGTACAGAAAATAAAGAAATATGCATGACAGCAGAATAAGAAATTGTTGCAATAAATTCTGAAGATTATTCAAGTAAACATACCTTAACCTTAGCAGCAATGATTACACTTTCTTCCTCATGTATTCAAAACAAATAATGCTATTTTACACATAAGAAACTAAAGCTCAGAGTTAAACCTTAAGATTGATTTTGGATAAAAAAAGTGGCAGAAAAATAACATTACATAGCCTCCTTACTAGGAGCTCCTTACATAGCTTCTCAAATACTTTCAAGATTATATTTGTTCTTTTCAAAGTAAAAAAAAATTTAATTTGCAGACTTTGGAATTTCTTCCTTGAATCTGAGATGGTTCAAGAACAGCTATAACAATTCAATAAACAGAAAAAAAATTAATGACTAAAATCTGAAATACCTTGGCTAACATAATATCCTGCCTCTCCCATCAATCAAAAGCAGACACAGCAGTCTCCAAACATGGTAGAAAAGCTATGGTGAAGCTTCCCCAGAATATTCCGCCAGCAACTAGCAGAATGGACTTGAACTTCACAGTAGTGAAAGAACATTAGAAACAGAAAAGAAACTCAGGGGTAAAACCCAGTCTTACAGCTTTACATACCCTCTTTCTGAATAGAAATGCTAATTTAAATACTCATTTTAATGGCTGCCTCATAGGCAAGGAAAAGCAGGAGTCATAATTCAAGTAATCATGCCACTAGTCTTAAGTCCTCCAGCAGTTCACCTCCAGCAGTCTTCCTCCCCACTAATTCACTCTCAGCTCCACCACAAAAAATGCTAAGCAAGGCTTCTAGCAAAGCATCTAAATACACGCTTGACCCTTGTGTAAACGTTCAAGAATACACACACATATTTAATCATATTCTTACTGCTTCATTGTACTAGTACCACAATGCTCTGCATGGCAGAGAGAGGTGTGTGTAGCCACTGTTCCTTGTAAACAAGGATGTCTTTGTTACTTTAGATCCTAGGAAGACTGCAGTTTCCTCCTATTCATTCTCATAAAAAGCAAATTAAAAGTACAACTTATTCCCCATTCCCCCAGTCAGATTTTTGAGAAGGAAACAAAAGGATTTGTGTTCTTTGCTGAATGCTAATTTCACATCTGCCAGCTCATCTGACTAAGGCATCTTGCACTAAAAGGAAACAATACACCAAGTTTGATCTGACAGCTTTTATCTCCACCGTATTATACGTTACTACTACCTAATACTGTAAATCTTGCTGAGAAAGTCCAACACAGGAAAGAAAATGACATGCTCAAGTGTTAAACACAGACAGCACTCACTTAAGTATACTTGGATTCACAATGAACCTTCAACACTGCTTCCTGCTCCTGGCAAAAATTATCCTTATATAAGAAAACACAGAAATGTTCTCTTCTCAATTTTTTACATACAAATGCCAACATTAAATTCCTCTTCCTCTATTACTCTGCACATTTCTAGATATTCCACCAAGTCATGCCAAGCCAAGCAAGGACCACTTTTGAAGACAGGCAAAATGGCACGAAAGAAAACTGCTCAGCAGGCCATGTGGACCCACCATGGATTAACTATCCCAAAAATACACTGCTGAAACTCTCAGGAGATATTGTTCCTTCGGCAAAGGATTTGCAGAACTGCCAGAACTCATCTTAGACTACTGACTTACAGCCCAAATGATTGCTTTTGCTGTAGCAACCTCAGAAAAAGTGGAATAAGAGCAGTGGAAGGAAGGATGAGATTAAAGAGTTGACAGTACACCAAGACATACAGAGACAAATGTAAACAAGGAGGGAAAAGTTAGTTGACTATAAAACTGTCCTCACCTCACCCACTCCCTATTAATACCTTGAACAACCCTAGCAACTTCTTTAGCTAAGGTATCTTAGTTTATCTTATCCTGCACCAAAGAGCACACCGGAGAGGAAAATAAACAGTTGTCACCTACAAAAGGATTGAATTTAGAAGCAGCAGTTCCCCTTGTGGGAAGCAGTCAATAAAGGTAACTGATTAATCTTTTGAAAGTGCATTATGAACTCTTCTTTAAGCTTCACACGTTTTCATACAGACCCACAACACCTTTAAAAGCTGGATCACTAAGAGATTGTTATGCGAACTGCTGCATTTAACACTGCAGTTTGCCTCTAAACAAGCACATATCACATAAACATGATATGTGGGAAACATATGATATGAGAGGGAAACACAAATTATAACTTTGGAAAATGTGTGTCTTTTGAGAAATGCAGAATGGCAACATCACACGTTGCAAACATCTTAGACATTTAGAAAAAGATTACTTAAAAAAATTTATATCTGAGTAGTATAACGTTTGTGGTTTTTTTTCACAAGGAAAATAAAAAGCATTATTTCAGTGAGAAATAGTATTTTTGTTCTCCCACTCCTGAACATGTGAGAACTTAACATTCATAGGTTTTCTTCTCTTGACAGAAGCTCAGACACTGTTAAAAGGAGCAGACAGAGGACTCAGTATCACAAAATTTTGCCACTTCCCAATTCTTAAGTCTTCTGAGATGTCTGCCAAATAATTTCACTTACCTGTTGAATGTTTAAATGGTTTCATCACAAGAACTATCATATATAAAATGCATAACTCTTTTTGTCACTAACCACACCTGTAGTTCCCAGTGAATGAGGTTGGTTGTCTGCGCCCTTACTTGCAATTCATATGTTAATCCAGCAAAAATATTAACTGAAATAAGGAATTCAAGATGAAAATCACAGTCAGATCTAAAGTCATGAACCCCCAACTAATAGAAATAAAAATCAATAGCAGAATCATCACCAATTTAAAATAAAACAGAATAAGACGACAAGTAGATTGAAAATAAATGAATAAATGGTGTTAAAAACCATGTTTCGTAAGTAATTAGGTTACAAATCTAACAAATCTGCAATTATTTTCTTTTATGACCTTATTTCAAGAGTTTTATCAGAGTATGATATGCGGCATCACACTAGCTCTTTGGTATGTTCTATGATTTCCATGGCTTTTGCTTTCTTTTGTAATAAACACCTGAAATAAAAGACTTTTCCTTTTTTTGGTATTTGTAATGCACAGTCAAAAATCCCTTGATTTCCAAACATATCAATTCCAAATACCAAAATAAAGTCTGAATAAAGTATGATTAAAATGTAAACTAAAAAGTCACCCTATATGACAGACCAATTAAAAATACCTAGCAAACAGGCAAAATTGCAAAACGGTAGTAAGACTTAATTGGTATTCAGAGGCACCAACTTCCCTCATTAATTTATAGCCCAAACCAAATACTTCTACACCTCCACTGCCTAAGAGAATCTACATTAAAAGTGCAGCAAGATGCCACAGGATGCCAGCCTGCCATGGCTTACAGAGGTCACTGCACTGTGAACAACTGCAAGGACTCACAGCAGCCAGAAGTTAGGACTCCCATAGAGACAAAGCAAGGAATAGCCAGAGCACAGCACCAAACATCACTTGAACCAATACACCTTGGCAAAACAAGAGCAGGGGAAAAGCAAAGAGAAAGGGTTTCTCCTCTCTTTCCCGTTTAACACGTGCCAGCTGGCGAGATGAGCCTGTATTTCCTCTCTCCCCCACCCCCTCCTGCTTCAAGAACATGCTCTGCCATCTCTTTTGAGACCAGCCAAAATTAACACATTTATACCCACACTTTGTTTTCTTATGCTGGTTGCTATAGTTTTTCATTTATCTCTATCCCAAGTGTCATCTACAATTCTTGCTGAATTATTTATCAGCATTTTTACTGCTCACCTTTGACAGAAAGAGAAAATAAAATGTAAGGAAAAACTTAAATGAGACCAGAGGAAAGCAATGAAAAAAAGCTAATTAAAATAAGTGAGATGCAGCTCTTCATATTCCCCTGTTTCTGGTGAGAAGAACTGGGAGCCATAGTACCCACGTTAAGGACCAGAAGACTTTCCTAAAAATAGTATGCCTTTCAGGCAGTAAGTCTGACCTGAGTATAGCAAAAAGCAAGTACAACAGTCACAGGTGAACAAAGACCTCAAAGGTTGTACACTATACCATAAAAACAGTTTTCTGCTGTTCTCCTGTTTCTAAATTCACAAACCAACAGGCCATCTTTGGTACACTACAACACAGCTTTCTGGGAAATTTTCACAACTTTTATAGTAAACCTCACATTTCCTACTTTGTACCTTAACAGTGTTGCATTATTCATGGGAGTCCAGTCCAGCACTCCTATCTGTGGCTCAGCTAGTGTAACATCACAGCTATAGACTGTAAGTGTGGTGTGCAACAGGAAGAAGTGTCCTGACAGCACAGGGTAATGTCAACTGTGGCCACTCCAAATTAGTGCCAAGGGATCATCAGATCTGTCTTGAGGCAATGTCTGAATGTCCTCAGCAACCTCAGAACATGATTCTAGAAGGAAAAAGGTTGAAAGACCTACTGCAAAGTGGCTGCTCCACACTAACTGGTCACATGGACAGTATGATTAAACTAAACCAAGATAAAGTACTTTCTTCATGATCAGAAGATTGATGTTCATCTGAGGAACTGGCATGGATTAGCTTCCAGGCATTAAATTTAAAACTCAAGTTATTCTGCAGTAACTGCTCCACACAGACAAGCCGTTACAAAGATTAACTGCATTTCACAGATGATGATTTTTGCTAATAACATCAGTGACTTTTAGTTTTCTATGGAGACATTTCTATGAGCCTCATTTCATTAAGAATTCCTTTTGCATGAGGGAAGGTTGCCAGCTTCCCCTTGCTCCATCTTAAGTCATTCCAAATGTTTCTATCAATTTGACTTTGAGTTGTGCCTCCATAACTCGTGTTTGATTACCAGCATGGGAAAACACAGACTCACACTTAATTCCTTTTTGCAGTCCTTGGAAAAATATTGACTCACCTATTACATGGTCTCTGGCTGACTGGAGAGATCTGGGTGAGAAGAGCTTCAGGCCATACATTGTATAAACAGGAGGATTTGTGTCTTTAGATCCAGCATCTAGCAGCAAAATAAGGCCACACAATATACAAAAATATACAGGTCTGCTGTAGATTATGATTTTATTGTGTCCCTGGAAATAAAAAACAAAAAGTTAGAATTTTAAAGTAAGAATTTTCATTCTTCTACTGCATGCACTGCATTAATCTGGAGAGAGGGTCAGGGGTCAGACAAAATATTTTAATGACTTATACATAATAATTACTAATAAAAATGTTACAAGGTACTTTATCTTCTCCAGAGGAGATTTTCAAAAGGCACAATGAGCAGTTAAGACTGACTCCAGCAATCATTTATGCTTTTGAAAACCTACCCTTCTGGACCTTTCAAAACTTACTAATTCTAGGAGTCATCACCTTCTGTGGAGAAATAAACCTCAATCTGTATGAATTGTTCTTTTCAGTAGAAAAATAATTTTTCTCTATTTCTTTTATTTTAATGAACATCTGCTTCAGGTGGCTTGACTTTTTTTTTACTTTATGAAATATAAAATTAATTTAATTTTTAATTGAATCCTGGGAAGAAAAAATATAATACAGCACATCCCCAGTACAGTGTGAGGCATGGGGACGGATTTTTCTTCACCAATTTAATTTTTTTTGTTTCTTTGAACCACTTGACAACAAATCAGCATAACTTCTGAAGGGGGTGACACTCATCAGCAGTTTCTGATCTATTTCTCATGAAGCACTTTTAAATGGTGATCCAAAGGAATTAGGATGTGGAAGGAATCTCATCTGATGTCTTTCATACACATCTCTCACACAATTGATTCCCACTAATCCTGTGGGAACACTGTTGTGTGGCTGCAGGCCAGGGAAACTAACAGACACTTAAGAAGAGCCTTAATAGTTCTCCTGGTAGCAAGCTGAAGGGTAACTAGGCCATTTTAAACATGGATGAGTCGAAAGACTCCTTGAATGTGAAAAACCAGGAGCAAAGTGACAAGAATCCAAGCCTGCCTTCCATAAAGCTGCTGTGCAACTGCTCTAATTTGAGAAACGTAATTTAAGTGAGTATAATAAAAGATCATGTCTTTCTTTGAGTCTACTTACTGACTTGAAATTGTGACTGTGTTTGTTTGGCTGCCAGCCAAGCTCGTATGTTAGATTGCTATTAACTGATCTGTACCCTCTTTTGGGATCAATCAGTTAACAAGGTGGCAGATTACAGGGGACTGGTGGGCTTACATCGTGCTTCACATCTATGGAATATGAATTAAGTCAGGGACACAAATCCTTGCTGTTTAATCAATTTCAATTTTACTACTGCTTTTTTTTTTTTTTTTTTAATAGGACACATGTTCACAAAATAATCCGTGGAGAATTATAAAGATAAAACTTTTAAAAAGAAAAATAATTTAAACTATTACTTTCTGGCCTTTTTTAAACTTCAGTTCATTTACATAAAATATGAGCTGTGCCTTAGGAAAAGAAACCAATAAATATGCACTAAACAATTGCTTAATATTTTATATCCTAACATTCACTCCAGACCAAAGTCTATTTTAATGTGATGTTACATTGTCTCACCTCTTGAACTATGGAAGCCAGTTTTATCTTTGCATGGTGATTATTTGAAGGCAGCTGGGTAAAACAGAGTTGATGACTACGAGCCCAGAGGTTTAACTCCACACACCTTGCAGTTCCATGCAGAACACTGATATAATCAGGATTACAGTGCATATTTAACTCTTACTTCTAAAGTAGTTTACGGTGCACTGGGTGAAGAACTGGCCGAAGGGTGGGCAGAGTGCAAAGGGCTGCAGTGAAAGGGGCCACATCTGGCTGGAGACTCATCAGCAGTGAAGTTCCTCAGGGCTCAGTTCTAGAGCCAGCTCTGCTCAACAGATTATCAATGATCTGCATGTAAGAACTGAATGGACCATTTAGCAAGTTTGCTGAAGACATCAAACCTGGCGGTGCTGTTGACTCTGTTGAGGGTCAGGAGGCTTTGCAGAGAGAGCTAGATAGACTGGAACATTGGGCAGTGATTAACAAGATGCACTAGGTCCTGTTCCTAGGATGGAGTAATGCTGGGAGCAAGTGTAAATTGTGAGAGGTGTGGCTGATAAGCAGCCCTACAGAAAGGGACCTGGGGGTGCTGCTTACCAGCACATTCAATGTGAGTCTGCTGTGAGTGCCAAGAGGGGAAAACTGCACCTGGGGCACATCAAACACAGCAACAGGAGCTGGTCAAAAGGTGATAATCCTGCTGTACTCAGCACTGGTGCAGCCCCACCTTGAGTGCTGTGTGTTTTGGGTGTCACAATTTAAAAACTATGCGAAGGTCCCTGAAGGCATCCAAAGGAGAGCAACAAAGCCGGTGAAATGGTTGGAAGGAATGTCCCATAAGGAGCAGTCAAGGACTTCAGGCTTGTGTAGCTTGGAGGGGACAAGGCTGAGAGGCAGCCTCATTGCTCCCTACAGGTTCCTGAGGAGGGGAAGTGGAGAAGGTGGTGCTGATCTCCTGTCCCATCCAGTGACAGGATGTGTGGGAATGGCTCTAAGTTGCACCAGGCAAGGTGGTCAAACACAGGAACAGGTTTCTTAGAGAGGTGGTTGATGCCCCAAGCCTGTCAGCGCTGAGAAGAGGCATTTGGACAATGCTCTTAACAACTTGTTTTGACTTTTGGTCAGCCCTGAAGTGGTCAGGCAGTGGCACTGGAAAATCATTGTAGGCCACTTCAATCTTAGTTAAAATAGACTAATTCAATCACTTCACCATGCTAACTACAGTAATGCCACTTATGATTGAGGAAGCAGATTCCAGAGGTTTTCTGAAAGCTGCAAAATGTGAATAAATACTTCCTTCCCTGTTTTTCAAGTGGTGGTGGGTAATGAGACAGAATCTTGAAATCTTTCTAGAATCTTACCAACAGAAGCAAAGCAATGCACCAGAAATGCATTCAGAAGAGTGGTGTTTGCCCAGCTCTTGCACTACTAAGGATGTGTTCAAGCTGAATGAGATTCCAAGAGCACAGCAAATACTCCAGTCCCCACATCTGGGAACATGCAAAACAACACAAGAAAGAGGAACTGCTACAAATATTAGTGTGATATTTCACTGTCATTTACATGCTTCACGTGAGGGGCATTATATGGGGTAGGACTGGTTTGAGGGCAACAGTGGACAACTTCCAGGAAAGACAGGATCACTTCCCAAAAGTCACAGCCAGGGGATAGACATTACATTTAACTTTTTAAGGTTTTAGAAACAAACAAATAGAACAATAGGAGCAAAGCCCTCCTGTACCTGCCTCCGACAGACAAAGCTAGGCAGCCCTTCACCCAAATGGGCATGTGGCAGCACAACCTGTTTAATGAGGTATTTTAGATATTAAGAGCTCATTTTGTTTTACTAGGCAAGCTCACCAAATTTTGACATGCAAAACTGATTTAATCTTGTTGAAATGACTCTGCTCTGCATTGTTGTTTAGAAGAATTTAAACAGTGAAGCAGAATTACTTTTACATTTTGTATCTCATTTGTTAAATAATCCTTTTTTTCCTTCACTGATAAAAATTTCAGTGAAAGCTTTTCCTTTCCCTAAGTCTGCTAAAAAAAGTCACTTTTTTTCATGTCCATGTTTCTCATTAATGCGTTTCAGATATTCACATCTTACCAACACAGCAGTGATGCATCTCACATTTCTATAAAAATATTAAAACTTTCAACAAAGAATAATTTCACAAACACTTCCATTTACTAAAACAGTAGTTTTGACGGCAAAGCATTTTGATGGGAATTTTTTTTTTTGTTTGTGGGTGCATACATGTAAGAGGAGAAAGACAGAAGGCTTTTTTTGTAAAGAAATGCACCTCTGCTCAGTTCTACAGAAAAGCTTACAGAGACAAATTAAAAATACTTCATAAGTGCCTTATGGGATTTAGAAAACTGCCTACAGTAGCTACAAAACTGAGTTAGCTATGTGCTTTGGCACGTAAGAGGACTGAGACAATAAATTTATGCAAGAGATCCTCTAAATCTTGTTAAGAGCACAACTGTACTCTTTCAAGCTCAAATGCCTTTGTAAGCCCAAGGTAGATCCTGAGCTATACAGGTGTCTTATAAGGTACTTAGAGACATGAGATCCTTCTATAGAGCCATTTGCTAAATGTAAAACCTTACTTAAGCTTTTTCTAAAACCTTTGAATGCACATGACAAGGATCTCTTGGATCTCTGAATTTTAATACCCTGCAGTCACCAGTAGGTTGATTGCATCAGTTCACTAACAGCAAAATATAACACACTTCGGAATCAACTTGATTTTCTTCTCTCCACCACTCCAGTGAATTTTAATACCCTGCAGTCACAAGTAGGTTGATTGCATCAGTTCACTAACAGCAAAATATAACACACTTCGGAATCAACTTGATTTTCTTCTCTCCACCACTCCAGTGAGGAGGCTGTTACCAAATTTCACCATCCCAGAACCATGTACCCCTGTATAAACAGCAGCTAAAGGTCACCAACTCCCAATGGACTAGAACTGGAAAGGCTAAAACTCCAGCTGACAGGAAAATTAGACTCTCATCTTACAGAAGGCACCAGTACTAAACCTGCAGCAACAATAAATGCCAGCTCTTCCTCAACAGCAGCAAATATATACATTGGCACTCAGGAGGAGTTTGGAACAAAAGCTTACAGCATCTCTAGGTACTGTGCTTTCTGAGATCACTGGATGCTATTTGAAAGCACTCTTTCAAAATGCTGCAGGCTAGAGATGACAAAGTCACTAAGTCTCACCAAACAGTAATAAATTCTGCAGGTGAGATAGGGAAGAAGTTTGGAACCTCTTTGGCAGCCGTGGATAACACAAGGCATTAGCAGCTACTCATGGATCCATGAATAGAACTTAATTCACTGTGCAGATCTGAGGCTCATGATGGTTTGTTTCACACTCAAAAAAATCTTATCTGCATTTTCATTCATGGGTGTGGTAGAGATCATTCTTTAATAACTCTGCTGTTCTGCATTCTTATATTAACATCAAGAGATGTTATTCACTTTAATTTTAATACAGGCACATGAATTATGAAACAGTACATGGAGGATCTCTTCTTAGCTTCTCATTGTCCTATTTCTGAGGTGCTTAGTAGCTCAAGCAAGCCTTTACAAATACCTATTGTGTTAAAAAGCTATAATGTAGAAATTGCTAATCTTCTATTTTAGCATGACAACACCTCCACCTTTAAAACCCTTAGTGGAAAAACTTCCTAAATTTTATTTCTATTGGAGTCTGTATAGTGCATATAGTTGCAAGAGAGTATCCCTAATAAAGTTATAGGAAAGAAACAGAATATGGGAATACACCTATTGTTACTTTGTTCCACTGCTGCATGACTTACACAATACAATACAGCAAATAACACTTGTAACAGTACTGTGAGAACCTGAAATTCAGACCTGGACTCTGCACAAAAAAATGTTCTGTTTAAACACTAACTTGTGTTTAATACTATAAAAAAAATATGGGCCAGATAGGTTCATAATGAAGTTTTGATTAAACTGTTTGCCACCCACTTTAAAGAAATGTACACATTACTAATGTCTGATTAAGTGCAAACTATTTGATTAGAGTTCACATTATTATATCTAGACAGATGCCAGTTGAGCTTACAAATTATATTATTTTACTTACAAGAACCCCCAGCTTTTCACTAAGGTTGGACTATTACTTTAATGTATTGAAAATAGTACCCTACAATGGGTAAGCTGCTGTTTATAACCTTTCTGTACCTTTTATGCAGACAGGTATCTCTTATGAATGCATTACAACCAAAACCACCATAACTTTGCCCCTTAATAATTGGCAAGGAAAAGAAACTGAGAATCTTCTGAAATCTATCTAGTGAAGTGTGCAGCATACATACATAAATAACATCAATTTCAAGTTCAGCCTGTATTTCTAGCCTCTAAACTGACAAAAATAATTGCTCCCTGCCAAAGAGAACTGATCCAGCAGACCTAAAGTTATCAACGTGTCATTTTTGAAACCTGAAGGAAGAGCGGGTATCCTCAAAAATATTCAAAGAGCTAAATAAGAAACGTAAGCAACTAGCACCCAGTGTAAAAGAAAGGAAAAGGCATTATGGCCACTGAAATGTCTTCCAAGACTCACAAGTCACAAATGCTGAGACACCATGATAGGTGGAGTGGTAAGGTTGAAGTTGTATGGTGATGCCCCTAGAAGAGTCCTATAACAAGGACAAACTTGTGTAAAGAACTGGTTCTCTGAAAGGTGGCTGGCACCATCAGAGTTCAATTTCTTAGATATATACAACTGAAAAAAAAATAGCAATCAGCAAGGATCCTTACATCCTGCATTCACTCAAAGATTTGGCCATTTCTTCAGGATACAAGCACAGAAACTGTGACCATATTGTAACAAGGGGAAAACACCTGTGCTGTTTGATGAGCTAATAATACTTTTAATACATAAATCTTCAGTAGCAGATTTTAAAAAATAAAACATCAATCCCAATCTCAAAGAAAAAAAAAAAAAAGAAAAAATCCCAACTGAACAACGATTGAGCTGCTAGTCTGGAACTTCTGCTCTTTTCTATTTCTAAAGGAGAGCAAAGGAAAGGTTTGTATGATGTCACAGGATCAAACATCAGCAAGATAGTCCAGATGAATTTTTTACTGCACATATTAACTTAAAGAAAAAGCACTTTTCTAATAGCAGTGATAAATTCAAATAGCTTTAAAATATTAAATCTAATACAAAGTCTTGAAATCACGTCTTTTTCATAAATCAGATAGAAGAGCAAATGACTAAAGCCTGTCTCTCCTTGAACAACCAGCTGTTTCACAGCACACAAGTGATAATAGAGGAGATAGACTTGTTTTACTGACTGAGACTTACATGTATTGGTGAAGCAGGATCAGGCTGAACACTCTAAAAACAAAACAGAAAAAAAGAGGTTTGCTTACAGGAGTTTTCCTTTGTAGAAGTTAGAAGAGAATTCAGCAATTGGCCACAAACTTGAGTCCTACCTTGAGGAGAGAATACTGGCAGCTGGCCATTACGAGACAGAACAACAGAACCCAAATGTCTTTACAGAAGCCTTGGTTCAGAGTCAGGAATCCAAGAAGTGAAACAAGAACTACTAGAAGGACAGCAAACACATTTTCCTTTATATCTTCTGTCCTATGTGAATAAAAGTGTTGGAGAAGTACAAATATTTATAGATTCATTAGAGCAAGGAAGATCCATTTGTAGCTGGTATGAACCGTCAGTGCTGCAGTTATCAGAATTCATTGGACCCCATGGCTACATTTCCATGTTCAACAGTATTTCATCCCCATGCCATAAACCTTATCCAAAAAGATAGCTAAAATGTACAGGAAAAAAAGCCATATGCACTGCAGTCTAACATCCCTTCCCACCTCTAATTCCCAATTAGAATTCCACAATGGAGATGATTTGAATGCAGAAAAGTGTATACTTATAAAAGCATAAACACCAAAAAAACATAAAAAAAAAACCCCACATGAACAGCTACAAATAAAATCAAACATCCAAACACTTTTAAATGAGGAAATAAGGCATTCCATTAATCAAAAATATACATCTGACAGCAAAGAACTGGATGAAAGACCAAATTTGTCATCTGATGTTTTATTTGTTTTATCTGTTCTGTTAGAACGTGGAAGCTGAGATAAAAAGCAGCGTTAATATTCAGGATGTAACAAAAGAGCTTATTAGCAGAAAAGATTTCCATGCAATTGAAACACAGAGATAAGACAGATAAGTAAATATCTGGTCTGGACTTAAAGCTCCCTGGCATGTAGCTTGATTTCTGCATCAGGTAAAACTGCCATCTGAAACTTCTGCTGTGGAGCCCATGTTAACCAATACGGCACAACACCCCCAACCAAGAAGCAGAGACAAACTTGAACTGGAACAGAGGCAGCAGCTCAAAAATCTTCACCTGAATACAATTCTGTAAATCATTTTCTTTTTTTAAAGGTTGGTGTACTTGGTTTACAATACCCTGGGACCCTTCTTCTTCTGATTTTCTCATCAGAAATCATTGGATCTATAACATCTATGAGTCAAATTACAGACTAGTCTACAAGCCTGGTACTCACATGAATCAAAGTCTCTACCTGAAGACAAAGAGTAGCAAGAACAACTGAAACCAACCCTGAACTTCAGCTTAAAGCAAACCCACATCTATCTATTCAACCTGAATTCCCTTTCTCTAGTGGTCAGCATAGCTTTATGGACATGTGAAGCCACCCACCAAAACACTACATAGAGCAGCTTTAAAAAAGAAAAGCTTACCTGTCCAACAATGCCAACAAGGTAAGACGATCATACCAGACTTTAATCCACTTGCCAGGGAATATAACAAATCTGTAAAACTGCCTGTTCAGCTTCCGTTGTGCTGAAGAACATGAAGAATCCTCAGGGTCCTGGCTGGGCTGCTACAAAAACAAACCAGAAATGCACAAAACTCTCTCACACTCTTACACAGCTGACAGCAAAACAGGTGTCGAAAAGGCCAAATTTACATGAAGTGTCAGATATTGTTTTGGTTTTTTTGTTTTTTTTTTTACTAAAAGGGCTAGTGGGAGCATATTAGCATATTTATTTTCTTAATTTTAAATTAGAAACAAAAATATCACACCAGCTTAATTGTTACAGATGAGCAGAAGCTATATTAATCATGGAGCTCAATAGTGACAATGCACTTTAAAAAGTAATACTAAACATTCATTTAAAAAGTAATTTTTTAGTCCAGATCCAATACCTGTCTAAAGTTTCTCTTTGAAGATTTTCCCATGTATCAAGTTAATTAGAGCACAACACAAAAACATGACAGGACAAATCCTTCTTTTTAAATAAAAAATAAATAAATAAATAGGCCTTAAGGCCTAGAAGTGTGACTTATCAAGTTTTCTTCCAGAACACAGCTTTGTTTATCTTTCCTAAGATGCTTTTAATACCACATCAGGTGTGCCTCCTCAAGAGCAGCAAGAGGAGGAAAAAAAATTGCAAACAAGCACAAGTAGTATAAACAGCACTAATTTAAGAGTCTCTAATCTTAACATCATATTCATAAATCCACCTTTTTAAGTATTGCTTTTGCCAGATTCTAAGGCTTTTTTCAACTCTTCTCTACAATTCTCCTCCAACTATCTGCAGACCATCAGCCAAGCCTGCAAAGCTAGACAACAGATGAAAAAAATCTCTGCAAAGCAGTGCTTTATTTCCAAGGTATACCATTACTGATGTGATGGATGGGGGGAAATCACTTATTTTTCTTTCAAGAAGAAGAATTTGAGATTTCAAATCACTGTAAAGTCCAGTGGTTTTCAACCCTCTCCTAGGCTGCCTTTTCCCCACCCCTCCTTAAAGATAATTAATCAACAAATATACCTATTATGGAACTCTAGGCAATGTCTACATTAGACTTATTTATTTTAGATTAATTTTCCTAGTCAGGGAAGGAGATTTCTGCATGAAGTAATTGATCATCAAATTATAACTGTTAGCAAAGCACAGTTTTTTAAACAACCTGTCCACCTCCACAAAGGAATTGTTTTGGTTTTTTATCTCAGAATATTGGAATAAATTCTAATCTTTGCTTTCCAGGAAAAAGAATTTTACACAGAGGTTACACATGACAATGTATTACTGCTCATCAGCTGGAAAACAACTTGTTGATATCCTCAGTCTGCTGGGAAATATGAGGTGAAGCAGGCTAGCATAAGCTCTGGAGAAAGAAATTCAAGTTTAGGCATTTTATCTTGTGCCTCCAATTGACTAAAAGTGTACAGCCATGCAGGGCCAGGGAGCTCAACTGCTAGTAGTGCAGGAAAATCCCTCATATTTCTGAGCATTGAGACGTGCAAGGGGATGCTGGGATATTTGGCATTCTTTCCTTTATTAATGATTTTGAGCGATTTAAAAGCCATGAGATCAACTGCAATCTTTTCACTGTGCTGACTTTAAAATCTGAAAGTAGTTTATGCAGTCCAAATTTTAATATTTTTATTACTACTTTAAAAAGCAACTTAAACATGGAGTTGGGGCATTTTTAAAGAAAAAAACCATGTATTAAGATATTACAGTTGCTAATACTGGCACAGTTTTGTTTCTCTTGGGTCCTATTACCCAACAGAAAGTAAAGTGAAACTCAGTCCGCTGCAGTCATTAACTTCACACATCTAATGCAGATTGCTTGCCATAACTAGATAAAAAAATCAAAACAGTAGCAGAGAGTTCACTAAAAACACCCGAGGATCTGATCACTGACTCCCCAGAAGAGCCTAACACGCCTTTAGCTGAGTGCATAAGTGAACATTCTGGCTCCTGAGGAGCTGTAACCTTTGGATGAAATCCTCTGTGTGAGTCTTGTGAGTATAGTGCTTGGGCGGGAATCAGAATTTTGAGCTGGATTTGGGAAACTCTCTGACTAGCCCTGAGCAAGTCACTCAAGTCTAACTGTTTATCCTACCCAAAAGGGGCTTATAAAAATTCACTTTATAAATTTATATGGTGTCAGTGACAGCCTGAAGCCCTAGCTTCATTGAAATCAATGACAATGCTTTTCCTGATTTATGTAGGCTCAAGTATTTCATGTTTAAGAAAAAAAAAGAAATTCCGAAACCAGGACATTCTGAAATTACTGCCTGGCCTGGCTACAAATTTGCTATGTGATCTTGAGGAACAGTCTTCCTAAAAGAGAAAGAATAAATTACTGTTGTTCTCTAATTCACAGGCAGTTTACAAGACTATAAATATCTGGAAAACATCTGACCCTTTAGATGGAAGACACTATCCAAATATGAGAGACACTATCTGGGACAATTTACTGATTTTTAGTTTAAAATAGTTCCTTTATAGAAGCTGCTTCTAGCTTAACGTTCCTGTGTGAAATCTAAGATGAAGGCAATTAACTGTCATTTTACTGTTATTCATAAATACCAAACTAGAATTTGCCATGGTAGAGGGAAAGTCAAAGTTATTATAAAAGGAATTGTAAAAAAGATCATAGCCCTAAGTCACATACCCCAAACACTGTAAAGTTCATGTCCACATAAGACCATGCAAATTGAAGTCTGAGAGCCTTTTTCTTTTACTAACTGCATTGAGGAGGTGGCTTCAACATTCCACAGCAAACATTCAGAGGTCTGGTTGCCCAATTCAGAAAAGTGAAACCAGACATGAGGTTTTATGACAGCAATGAATCTGGAATAAACACTTCATACTATTAAGATCTGGTGGTGTGTCTAAAATCCTAACAGCTGTGTCCTCCTCCAAATGAAATATGATTGAAGATAGAAGATGAGCTTTTTTTGGTGATGGTGTCTTTAAGTACTTCCCTAGGACACTACTCAGTGTCACAGCTGAGTTGCATCCATCAACATAAAACTTATCTTCTCCCACACGAGCAATACCAGGAAAAGCAGTATAGCAAAATCAACAAAATTGTCTCAGGGACAAGCCTGCAGCATTTGTTTATCGAGCAGTTCACCAAGATGCTAGAAACTCATGTTGTACCCGTGGGTTTTCTGAAAGGGTCCTTCTGGCCACCATCAGTAGGAGCTGCTGCTGAAGTGCGCTGGCTGCTTGATCCCCAGAAGATGGTTCTTGGCTCTCTGAAGTGGTAGTACTGGAGGAGCTGAACTGTATTTCACTGTGCACAGAGGACAGGAAAGACAGAGATTGTTTTAAGCACTAATATTTTCCTAACAATTCTGAAACATTACAGAAGAAAGCCTGTAATTACACTACTGGTTGGCTCATAAGACTTGGGAACCTTCCACCCTCATATCTGAAATCTAGCGCAGATCCACAAAACACCCAAATTCAGATATACTTGATTTACTACATCTACCACAGAGAAACAGATACTTCTGTATCACAGCTTTTCTCATTCTGAGATGAACACCCTCAAGGAATCACACTTCAGAAGTGTCTTTTCCTGTCCATTGACAATTTAAGTTTAGAGATGCACATCTACAGAACAAAACTGCAAAATAGATACTGCAGAGATCCCAGAATAGCTTCCAATGAGCTCACTTAGGTACCAAGCTAGTCTGATTTCACCTGCACTGAATTTGGTGAGTACTGATTTACCCTGCTGAGAATTCAGGCTACAAGAACTTCCTTCTGCCCTAGCAAGATAATAATACGTGAGCTAATTCACATAAGGCTAGTTCAGATATCCCCCGTACTGAGTGTAAACTCATCCTGGGAGGGCCCTGATAAAAATAATATTTATTGTTTTTCCTCACATTTACTGTTTTTTGTTGTAGGTACAGCACTTGAACACTTGCAAAAATCTGCATTTAAAGCAGCAGTGCTTGTTGAATTGCAGAAATGGTGTTACAATGGCATGACCGACTGGGTTTTAGAGACAACTTTATTGAAATGAAACAATTGTTACTTGGGGAAGAGATCTGTTTTGAATACTTCTTTCTAATTCTTTTCCAAATGGGATTTATACATCAGGTGCTCTGCTCCAAGCTCATTGCCCCACTGCCTCTGAATACCTGCCTTGGGCTCTTAATACTTATATCTACATGAGGTGAAAGCACCTAAGTGTTCATGCAAGGTAGTCAATATTTGTTGTTCTTATTTCGCATAAAGACAAGCAGGAAGAAACTAGAGCAATCTGCCTGCAGACAGACAGGAAGCTGATGGCAGTGCAAAGATTAAAACCCTCCTCTTGCATACCCAACATTTGCCCCAAAGTCACCTGATTAATTTTAGTTAACTCTCCTTGCTATTGGTGACCAATTCCCAAAGGCTGCTGTGTGACTCTTGTTATTGTTAAAGCTTTAAAATTATGGCTGTCCTGCAAATAACTGGCTGCTAACTCACCTGCAGTGGTTAGCATTGCTCTGGAACATAGTTCAGTGTCTGGATTACTTAAAAGAAGGGCTGAAGTCCCACACCAACAGTTTGAAATGCACACACTCTCTCCTCCCCTCCAGGATTTACTAGTTCTGCCTGGACCAAGAGGAACACAATCAGGCTTGGGATGTCATCAGAGGAGCCATCCGACCTTTGGTTTCTGAGACAGGTAGTTTATGTTTTCAAAGCCTTGATTGTTATCAGGCTTGAATTCCAGAACTGATATTCACCATCTGCCACTCCAGCAGAACTCTTTGCTGAGCAGAAATGAGAGCACCCCATGCTCCTGACCCTAATGGCTTCCTCTGCACTCCACATTCCTCCTACTACAGACAGCAGCATGATCCACTCCAGAGTCAGGAAAACTGTCATGCTCCCTTTGGATAGTACTAGCAAATGAGAACATGGTCCAACACAACCCACTTGATGTCCCAGCCACAAGGCAGCCCTCTGTAATAACCATCTCCTTTGTCAGCAGTTATTAACAAAACAGTACAGAAGGGATGGGCACTCCTCCAAGATCCTGGATCACAAACAGAAGATTTAAGCAGGAAGAAAGCAGAGGAAGCCTTGAGGAATGTCTCCCAGGAGTGAGATTCCCACAGATACGGACTACAGAGCAACCTTGTCCAGTCAGAAGGAAGGCAAGGGATTTTTTGTTTGTTTCCTCAGGATGAGCTGTCCTGTCCCTTGTCAGTGTGGGTGCAACCCTCAGTCTCCCTGTTCACAGCAGGAAAAAGGCAAATTAAGCCCAGGCTTTGCAGGAACACTAGCCTGAGAATTCCTGCCCAAAAGGTGACTCAACAAAAGAGCAGGGGAATAAAACAGTGGTTGCTCATGCATTCCTAAACAAAGAGTCAATCTTCACTGAATTTCTGCATCTTTATCTGTCTGTCTACAAAAACCAAAAGTATTTTGAGACCGAACCACATCTTTAATCCCACATTCACCAAAAATGGAAATGGCAGAAGGACAGATGGATGGAACAGAATACAAGGGGAATCTATCAGTTCTCAGAAATCAAAAATCTTATACTAATAAGACCTCTTCCAAGAATAAACTTAGGAGATCAAATCATCTCCCACCAGACTTGAAGTAAACCAAAAAGCCAAGAGCGCCCATGGTCTGTTTTGTGTTTACATTAACACAAAAGCTCCACCTATCAGCAAGTGGCAGAGGAGACCACAAGCAGCCAGGACACTAACTGTGGGGAAGAGTCAGAAACTCTATAAGCCTGCAAAAGCAATTAAAGCAGATAAATTGGAAAGGCAGAGCTAGCAAAGCAACAATTCCAAAATCAGAATGTCATCTGGCAGTCATCAGCCTCATTTCTCTGTCTTCTTATTCTCTCCTCATCTTCCTATTCTCTCCTCATCTTCCATTTCCTTCAGCTCCTGTTTGCTGCTTTTGTCTTCCTTATCCCTGTTTTCCAAACAACCTGCTTCTGACATTCACCCCCAAAGATGAGTTGCTTGTACAGCTACTTAGAAACTGTACATCTCATCTGATGGCATTGCTATCACACTGACAGCAAACACCAGTAAGAAATGCAATGATGGTGTTTGTGTTTTTGTAAGCCTATAAACTAGATTCTATAAATTTATTACCATATATAAATAGGAGCAAACACTCTCTAATCATAAAATCATTATAATGGAGCTGATCGCAGTATAACACGGAATCTTGCTAAACGCAAAATCTGTTCATTTGCAGAATCAAATTAATATTATCAAGATCTATCACAGTAAACTGCACTGCTAATGTAAGCAAAGGTATAATTGAACTAAATTTTGAATAATGAATTATTAACTAAAAATATCTTTGATAAACATATAACCTACGCAGACCAAATTCAAAAGCAACATAGCACCCTCTACTGATTCCTGGTATAAAACCAGGAATTTTTTTCTGGCTCATAATCCCATTTTATAAGAACACTCAGTAAACATAAGGTAGTAGAGCTATCATATACAGAATGTTCCAGTATAACCACACAGTGCTGGAAAAATCTTCCTTCTCCCTCTCTGTTTAGCCTATTACCTTATATCCCAACAACTTGGCCTGAGCCATTCAAACATAACCCAGCCTAAACTGTCCCCTTTGTTAGGATTAGCTAGCCATGGACCCCTCTCAAGGTAAGTTCATTATACGGACACACCACAAAAAATTCCCTGTTAATAAAGCTGTTTTGCAGGTCTTGATTAAATTTCACTTTAACCTGCATACTGGAGAAAGGACAGGTCCTCACATGCTTAAAACCAGAAAGATCCCACTGGATTGTCTAAGATAGCTGTCTGGGTCACAACAGAGTTTACTGTGTGTAATAAATATCCATAGAAATAATAAATAATATAGCTGAAAGCTATGTCTAATGCTCCCTAAAATACTGCCCTTAGGTGATGGTAAGCAACTATGGCTGTGAAGGGCCAGAAGGCAGCTCAGAGTTAGAGATGTCTCCTCCTGCACATCCAACAAGCAGTCGCTTCTGGGGTACTGGTCTGAGGTGCATCCAAAAGCACTGAACTGAGACCTCTGCAACGTGCTTGTACAAGACCCAGCCAGTGCAGACAACACAGCAGGAACTCAAGATACCCAGAAATCAAAAATCTTTTACTAGTAAGTGTTGTGCTCTTTCAAAACAGTACGTTTGTGGCTCAAATGTAGCTGCCTGAACTGATGTTGCTCATTAGGTCTCCACTAGAAAGCTGCCAGCACTAATCTAGCCAGAGTACTGCACAGTTCAAGACTGACATTAAAGCTACTAAAGTTGATTCTTTTAAGAAAATGATAGCTTATAGTTCCCAAATAATGAGACTTACACTGAAAAGCAACTCAGAGCATGTAAGAAGACTGAAATATGCCAGTGATAGCTGCCTTAGCAGTGGATAATTATGTGACAAATCCAATACAAGAAATGAAGAAAACTTAAAGAGAAAGCACTCTTCACTTTTTTGGTAAGATGTTAGCAGTGTCATAAAGTGTAAAATTAAGTCAGAATGTGCACCTTAACTTTCTTCAGTGCTATCTGATGCTATCAGATGTAAAAAAGATGAAATCTCTCTTAAATCTCATTCATATTTTTCTAGTTGAACAAATGTGTATTTATACACATTTTACTACAGGATTTGGGAACAATTTTTGGCATTTGTTTTAACTAGCAAAAATAACACCCCTAATAACAATAAGGCAGAATATCTGAGTTTACAGAATGGGAAAGCTGGATATAGTGATATTCTGACATAATAGGATAAATAGGAAAGATACCAGATGACTGTTGTAATAGACTGCAAAACAAGCAGTGGCACATATTAAGTTAGCTACTGCAGACGGACAGAAAGGCCTTGTAAAATATGTCCCCAAAGGCACTGTGGTCAATATGAAGGCAGAAAGTGATGAATGCCTTCCTACTCAAATGTAAAGAATGGGGTCCATTCAGTACACTCGTACTTACAAGTATTCAGATACTTTTATTTTGCTAATAAGCATGTAAACTGATAATTTGCAAGCTTATTATATTTCAAAGCAAAGATAAATGTACTAAAAACTTTAAAAAGAAACAGTATGTGTTAGCTAATAAACTAGAGGATGCATTTTGAGAAGATGCAGCTTCATAGGAATTAGTGCATTAATAACTTCCACAGTTGTGCTATCTCCAAAATACTTAATACATTCCTTTTATCTCTCCTTATGGAAGGGCAGGGGATGGAAGAGAAGCCAGTCCCAACACATGAAGCACGCCATAAGCTCCTAGTCCTGCGCAGGATTTTGCTGCCATCA